ATAATTTTTTGGTTTTGATGCTGATCTGTGTCCTCTGCAGGTCTGTGATTTCATATAAGACAGATGAGAAACCTCTATTTTCCTTGGACACTGTTGCAAGCTCAGGTATTGTTTCATTGTTGGACTGTATACCTATCATGACGCATTTAACAACATAATTGGATCACAATTGAAACCACATTAAACATGTCAGAGAGGCCCAGCACGTTTATGAGCAGGAGTAAATCTAAGGATGCATGATGTATTGTGCCATTGCTTATCGGTCAATATTGTTGTTATTTCTTTTTATTAAATAGTGTTAGTTGAGTTTGGAATTAGATTTTTGATAGGGCATCCTCATTTGCCTTATCACTTTTAGATTTAGATCACATGTGCCATCATCTAACACTCACTTTATGTAATCTGTGCATGAAATAATGCTTAGTAAATAAGCTACAATTGTACAAAGTTCAGTTGTAGCCTTTAAAATATTTATTTTCATTGGTTTAAATAAAAATGTATAGATTTTCTTTTTTTTTAACCGATTGAAAACATTTCAAGGCATCATCTCAGGACAGTCGTATAATAATAATAAAGGTGAAAAGTGTGTGTGTGTGTGTGTGTATATATATATATATATATACACACAGTTGTAATAGTTTTTAATATTATGTATACTGTAATATACAAACATGTACAATATGCATACAATGACAAGCAGAAACAGTTATACACCCTAAGTGTACTAAAAAAGATTAATCTGCCAATTCATGAAAATAATAATCAGCTTAACAGTATTAGGCAGCATTTTGACATGAGTGCATTCCCAAAAAATATTGATGCAATATTGTAAGAAATGTTATCCCATTAAATTAGTGTATTGTTGTTATCGGTACAGTCTTATTTCATGCTTGTCTTTGTTGTTGGGGCTAACTTTGACTATATTTGCTGGGTTTTAAGATGTGATCAAGTGACACCGGAACAGAATCGATCATTTGCCATGTGTTTTGTTCAGAAAACATGGGCATCTATGATGACATCGATGCTGATGTGCTGAGGAACTATCAGGAGTTTGCTCTGGTCAACATCATCTACTTCGGGCTGAAGGAGTCCACCACCAGTGAGCAGAGCGCCAGGATGACCGCTATGGACAGCGCCAGCAAGAACGCTTGTGAGTCATTTTATATGTCGTCTTCCGTTCAGTTTCAAAAGACTTTAATGGCCTGTTTCCTATATTCCTTGATCGTCAATAATGTTATCACTCATACTTGAGAATTCTCATTTGCAATCTTGTATTTTTTCACTCCGTCAGCTGAGATGATTGACAAGCTGACCCTGACCTTCAACCGAACCCGCCAGGCCGTCATCACCAAGGAGCTCATTGAGATCATTTCTGGAGCCGCTGCTCTGTAAGATGTTTTTCCTCTTGCTTTGCCTGTCTCTTACCCTCATTATAACCCATGCATGCCATCTGTCTTCCTCATTCATTCATTCTTTGTATTGGGTTATGGTTTAACGTTTTCTAATGCCCTGTTCTGTTACATCCATATGTTTATATTTCTGTTAATTTTATAACTCATGTGTTTCATGTGTTGCTTTTGCACCTCTATTAACCCATATTAATCTTATTTCCATCTTTTCCTCACTGACCTTCCTTAATATGCATGCATTCACCATTCACAGGGTCTGAGGCATGACCGAGGTAACGTCCTGCAGCAGACTGTAGGATATATTGTGTGCTTCTAGAGAAATACCATAGACAATAGATTTTAGTGTTCCAGTTTTCTTTTCTTGCATGTTGTGGGTTCTTTTAGTGGGTTTTGGTCAAAACAGAAGTTAATTTCCACAGGCCATTAGTAAAAGCAGCATAAGTTGAGTAAAAGAGCTTTTACTTTTTGCTAGAGAGTGGACACACTGACTTCTATTCTTATTGGTTAGACCTGAAACATACTCTGTATGCAAGGACATTAATGCAAATGCTTCTTTCATATAGAATGTTTCTGGCCTTGTACCCGACTGATATATGTTTACACCAACACAAATGTTTGTTGCAACAATTTGCATTCAGTTTGTCTGTTCAGACCAATGCTGAAAAAGAAAACAGCAGAAGGTCTGAATGAAATCACAAATTCTCTCTCTGCCAATAGGTGGAGCTTGTTGAACAGCAGAAATACAGCGACGCATATGTGCAACTTTCCACAACTTCCTCCACTGTTCGCTGTAGCTCAGCACAATAGTCTTTTCGTGAGCGCTACTGAGTTGTAGTTTTATGTAATCACATCGGCTCTGTGCAGATGACCAAGAGCGCAAATCTTATTGGTTGTCCAGGTTTTTTGCCTGTAGTGCATTGGAAAAGAAATTAGAGCATCTCTCTGTAAAAAAAACTATTGCATTGATGACATGCAAATGCTCACGTCGGTTTTAAAAGATGCGTTAACAGCTGTGCATTCGAATGTGGAATTTTTATTGCAAGAAATTTGTCAACATTTGTCTTGGTGTGAACAGGCCTTTAGAGTGTTTATATTAAATACTGAGTAAAGGGTCTGAATACTTAGGGCCGTGTGATATTTCAGTTTTTCTTTTTTAATTAATCTGCAAAAATGTCAACAATTCTGTGCTTTTCTGTCAATATGGGGTGCTGTGTGTACATTAATGAGGAAAAAAAATTAACTTAAATGATTTTAGCAAATGGCTGCAATATAACAAAGAGTGAAAAATTTAAGGGGGTCTGAATACTTTCCGTACCCACTGTATATATATATATATAGAGAGAGAGAGAGAGCTATAGATACTGCAGCTTAGATGGTTTGGTATTATTCTCTACACTTGACATCTACTTTCCTCACGTTTTATATCATGTCCATGACTGATTTGTTTGAAATGTACGAAATATTTATTTTTCTCATTACAGATAAAGAGGATCCCTGTACACGTTCAGTGTGGTTCTGGTGCACGTGCTCTCCAGTTCAGTCACCTAGTGTAGAATTCATAAATCTATATGTGCTTCTGTTTGTACAATATTGGAAAAAATAAACCTCTTACAGAGAAACACCACCCATTTGAGTTCTCCAGTCTATTTCTAGTGTATGTACCGATCAGCTTTGAAGTCCTCTTAAAAAAAATAAATTCTAATGCTTGTTTTCCATTGGAATTAAAGCTTGTGAACTCTTCTTTGAAGCCACGGGCTTGGCTGCACTCAGAGGTTATCAATACACGGAGCATTTGAAGAGAAGGCGTCTGCCAAAACAGAACACAAGGTCAATCCTTCCAATAAACCGTCTCTGGCATTTACGTATTTTGCTTAAAACAGTATTAAGTTACTCTGAACTGATTACTGATAAACCCAATTGACTTAAAGGCATCCTTATTGTTCCTTCTTATAATTGCCAATCAAAACAAGTTTATCCTCCTTGTTATCCATTTGAAACTCAAGCCCGGCCAGCCACCACGGTATCAGATTAAATGATCGCGCTGCGGTGTTGGGTGTCTGGATCCATGAAAGGGTGAATTTGGGGGTCACTGATTGTAGAAGAAGGTCTGGTCTATTAAAGTAATGGACAAGTAGAAAGTTTGACCATATGGGTCACTCATGTATTATTTAATCAGCTGCCACTGGAGCTCAGATTCTGATGGTTATCATCTGAGAGCTGATGAGCGTCACCATACCCAACCGTTTTTTTTTTTTTTCTTCTGAATAAATTTTTATTGAGTCATCTTGAGTTCAATATGCATTAGGAAATGTTAAAAATATAGGAATATAAATATAAACATACAATCTACAATCAAGCATTCTTTTTTTTGTGGAGAAAAAATAGTGGAAAATAAATTATTATATTTGTAGCATTCCATCTATACTTTACTAGTAATATAAGCATATGATCTGACTTTGAAATCACTTTTTAGCATCAAAAATAATTAGCTTTAAATTTACTTTTGCATAAAAGTGAATCTTTCACAAAACTTTCCACAGTGGTGAAAGAGACCGTTGTTTCTTTTTAAAAATATGAAATCCAACTTGTACATTATATAAATTGATATGAACATTTACTTTAAATAACTGATAAAACAACTAGTAACTATAGTTCTCCTGTAGTGTTAGTACTAAGGTAGGCATAGATACATTAAATAAAGTAAAATTATTAACATAAATATGTCTAAAATATATGGATGAAGTCATATACAAATCCACAAAAATCACATGGGTTTTCTGTACCAAAAGATTCACATAATTTATTTTCTGGGTAAATCCTTATATGACCCTACTATAACAATCAGAAACATAATATAATTTATTTAATGCATGTAATAAACAGCAATGCAGCCTTACAAATAGCTTAATTGTCACCTGACCATACAATATGCCACTCATTATTATTATTATTATCATTATTATTAATGCCATGTACAAAACCTATAAGTAGTACACTAAGATACAAAAAATAAATATTCAAAGGCAAGGAAAACTAAACAAGGTAATAACCAGTGTCAGAGTAAAATAATAATAATAATACAATAATAATACAAATGTAATATACAAAAGGAGAAAATACCACGCCATGCAAAAAAATCATACTTGCTTACAATATATTTGTGGGGGTGTCAGGGAGCATGAACCACTGAACCGTTTGTTGAACCGATTCATATAAATGAGAGATTCGAAAACCCGATTCGCCGAAACGAGAATTATTGACTTTTATCTAACTAACGTTACTGGCTTTTTATTTATTACAAATTCCACTCCAACATGGAAGAACAAAAAAAATCGATAATTTTATGTACTCAGGGCTTTACAAAGCATCACTATAATTTTACACATTTTATGTACACAAAGATTTGAAAAAAATAAAAATAAAATACTCAAGGTTTTACAAATCATCACTATAATTATACACATCGCCCAACTGTACTACACAGTATCGTACACACATCTGCAGGTGGTGTAATCGAGCAAGCTATAATCGACCAGACTCGCCGCTCTTCTGCGCATGCGCGATCGATTGCTCCACGATGTTTCGCTCGGGAAGTAAAGATGGCGGCTCCTATGGAAGCGCCAGTGTCCCTATTCATGTGAGCGATCAAAACAAAGCCTTTCCAGGCGCCGTGAGAGCGGGCTTTCGGGAGCGGAGAGATGTGTGAGAGTTACGCGCGCTCGCTGCTGCGGGTGTCCGTGGCGCAGGTGTGTCAGGCGGTGGGCTGGGATGCGGTGCAGCTGAGCGCCTGTGATCTGCTGTCCGACGTGCTGGAGAGGTACTTGCAGCAGCTGGCCCGGAGCTGCCACCGATACTCCGAGCTCTGTGAGTCGTTTAACTCTCCTTTCTAACCCTAATAACAGTCTGCGTTGGAGTAGTGTGCTCTAGAGTGTTGTTAGTGTACACTGTAGAGAGTATTTTTGTTGTTAAGCCCCGCCCACTACAAGTGTTGTTAGCATGCTAAGCTAACTAGCTCCTCAAATGGGGATTTTACTGTTATGGCGTTAAAACTTTCTTGACGAACTACTTTTAGTCCACTTCTTTGACTTCTTATCACAGAAGCTTATTGTTTTGTTTTTTTGTAAGACGTTAGTTTTGAGGCTAGCCATCAAACCTCTCAGTCTGCATGTTTTGACAGCTGACCAGAGACTAGTTAACTTAGCTGTCTACTTAGGCTAACCGAAATCAGTCTTTGCTTAACAGACTATATGCTGCTGAAAATGGAGTAAAATGTGAAATAGTATCCCTCTCGGAGACTGAAATGTTGGCTGCATCTTAAACCAGATAGTGTGGGATAGTTTGCAAGGATGCAGAGTATGGATTCCCACTTGTTGCCATAGTGATGCTGTAAGCTGCAGCATCATCTGTGTGGATGTGTGCAGTTCATATGTTCAAAACAGTGTTATTTTAATAGCATTCAGATGATATTATAGTATTTATTAATTCGTTATTTAAGAATTTTATATTTTTTGTTTAAATTTGAAAGTTTTTCTACTTTCTTGTGTTTTCTTAATTTCAGTTTTAGTTATTTCAATACGTCTGATTAGCAACTAGCTGAAATCAAATATTCTTAGATTTTCTTTTAAGTTTATTTTATTCCAAGTAATACATACACTTTCTTTTGTGTGCATCTAGTGACAAAGCAACTATATCTGAACCTTCTAGCTGTCAGAGTGAGAGTCAAAGAGAGAGAAAGCTTTTGTAAATTTGTTTGTTTTGAAAGTATTATCAAATACTATTAAAGTTTTTATTAATCTCTTAAATTAGCTTTTATTTTTATTTTTATTTTTTCAAATGTAAAGTTTTAGTAATTTTGTTGCATTTTTGACATTTTTATTTTTTATTATGTCTATAATGTTTTTATACATTTTTATGTCAGTTTCTGTTATGTTTGTACATCAAGTAAAAAATGAAAATGAGAAACCAGCTGAGATAATTTTGTATTAATATTTTATTACAGTTAAAGTTTATTTAAATGTGTATATATATATATATATATATATATATATCGATGTGTTGCTGTTTTTGTGTGTTTAAATAGCCATGTTTGGAAAGTTTTTGTGAATGTTTGTTTGTGTGCAATTGTAGGAAAGTTTTGAAAACCTGGTTGCCACATGGCGTTTGTGTTTGAGATGTAATTACTAATATCATGATGCAGCTTTCATGAATTCTGATTAGTCACTCACTGCATTGCATTGTACTTTTTTTGCATAATAACAACTAAGCTGTATAATTTACTATCATCGGAGGCATCTGTGCTTTTTTCCCTCTCTTTAAATATTCTACACCTAAGTATTAGGCTTGCCGCGATTGACGTTGATACCGTTGTTAAGCCGCAACACCGGTTACGTCACTTTCCCACCGCGGCACCGACCCCCACCGTCGTTTAGATTTTTTATAGTAATAAAAATCATTTAGTTCAGTAAAAGAACAGACACTACAATTAAAAACTGAACGCTGCTACAGTTCTATGTTTTATATATAGGCTAAAGTGCATGAGTTTGACATTGTATTTTGTTGTTGCATTCAAGCAATTGACGCCAAACTGCCGCTAATTCGATAAGTGCTTGTAAGCTATTTAAAATCGGAGGAAAAGAGGGAAAATTCAAACGAACTAAAAACGAACAATTGCTTTACTCCGAATTGCCGCTATTTGAAAGTGAAAGTAAAATGCGCACGCCGCTTTTGCAAGCTATATAAAATGCGAAGGAAAGCGAGGAAAAGAGGGAACGCCCTTCCCCCACGGTGATACCGGTATTATCAGTGTTGTCACACTTCGATTAACCGGTGGGAAAATTTCCTCACCGTCACAACCCTACTAAGTATTATATTTAATGTCCATTTATTAATTATTTGGTATTTGAGGAGGTTGCTGAACAGACATTAATTCCGTATGCTGCACATCTCTTTCCTTTCAGATGGACGGACAGACCCTGGACTGACTGATGTGGACCAGGCTTTTGGACTTTTGGGAGTCACTATAGCTGAACTCGAGGACTATGTAAATAACATGGAGCCTGTTGGCTTCCCACAAACTATCCCTCAGTTTCCCATCAGCAAGAGCAGCGTTCTGCAGTTTCCTGCTGCTGGCTTTGACACGGACGCCCGTGATGCCCTGAGGGGCGAGAGGAGAGACTATATCCCAGAGTACTTCCCTCCGCTCGTCTCACTGCAGGAAGGTACGTACCACCGTCGCTATAAAGGCGGGACTGAATATATCAAGTTATCCAAATATAATACAACAGTGTTGAGCTGGAACTAACTGTTCGTGATTTATTGGCAGCTATATTGTGAAAGTGTTATTCTGGGTCCATTTTTAACTTGGCATCTTAAAAGTAAAACAATTAAATGGCAGCAAATGATACACACACAGAAATGCTGAATTTAAGTGAGTAGTAACATGCTAATTATTAATTAGTAAGTGACGTTTAATTACAATGTTTTAATTTATATTTAATATTTGTTTACACTTTATTTTAAGGTGTTCTTGTTACAGTGTAATTATACATTTAAGTGCTGAGTAATATTAATTAACTGCATGTACTTCCTATATGGTTAGGATTAGGGTTTGGCTTAGTGTTACTTGCATGTAATTATACATAATTAATTGTTATTATAATAGTAAGAAATTAACTACATGTACTTACTATATGGTTAGGGTTAGGATTAGGGTTTGGCGTAGGGTTACTTGCATGCAATTATGCATAATTAATTGTTATTACAATAGTAATTACATGTAACATGTGTAACAAGGACACCTTAAAATAAAGTGTTACCTAATATATTTTTTTTTTTTTTTTTTTTCATGTTTCTCGTTTCTTCCTCATAGATCAGTTGGAGGCCGTATTACACTTGAGCACACTCGCACACACTCATGCCATAAATATACATGTGCTCTTTTAGGCAAAACAGACAAAAGTTTAAACATACAGCACATTCTTCTGTAATATATAATATGTACTACATGTGTTTCTCTCCATACCATGAAAGTTATGGAGCCCCGCTGTGTGTTTGAGTGTTACGAACACAAATGGATTTTTGTGTGGTTTGTATTTTTAGTGCTACTTGCTTAAGGAAATTTCTTTATTTTTTGTTATTTTTTTTTGTTACTATTGCTCATGGTTAGGCTTAGTGATTTGAACAAACCCCTTATAATAAGGTTTAAATGTTGACAGCTCATCTTGCGTTTTCCGAGTCACTAAAAACCAGAATATTATAGAGACTTTGGGGTGGCTGATTTGTGCCAGAATTCCCTATAGCAAATCCATATCAACCAGTGTTATTTTAGTATTATTTATATACTATTATAGTATTCATATTTTGAATTAGCTTTTATATTTTCAGTTTTTATTTTAGTTTAAGTTTGAGTAATTTTTAGTGATTTTGTCATTTATATTAATTTTTATATATTTCTGTTTAGCTTTAATTTACTTATTTCATTTTGCTTAGTTTTTCATCTAATATTTTATAGTAAGCTTTATTTCAATTAACAAATAGTTTTTAAGGACAACAGTATGTTAAATATTACTTACATCACCTTAGCAATATCAGTGTAACTTTTTTTGATAATCTAGTCTGTTAGTATGATTCACTTCTGCAGTAGCATATTCAGCCACAGGTTGGCGCTGTGTGACCACAAAGTTGTCTGAACGTGTCTTTCTGATTTTCTCCATTTCTCTCGTAGTGTATGAAGATTTTAATTTGATATAAAGTTTTGAATAGTTTTATTATTATTAGCCTAAAATTCACACTGGTGGTTGCAGTAAACAGTATAGATAGACAAATGCATTTTAAATGTGTTTGAAGAAGAAGTTAGTGGTGCTGGCCCTTTTTAAAACTCACCAGCCTGCTAGTGTGTTTTGAAGGGATGCTAGGGAGCTCTGAGTGGTTGCTTACTGACCCGAGTCAAAAGACCTCACTCTTAAGACTGTATGATATTCTTGTCCCTAGATGGCTCAGGTCAGGTTTTTGTGTGTCTGTGTGTTTTATCATTCGCCAGAGGAATTATGTAAGAAAAGTATAGCACACATCTCGCTAACAAGCCACACAATTTGAGCTGGTGTAGTACAAAGAATTGAACTTTGTTAGACACTGAGATCAAACGCACAACAATGAAAATGTGTTTTTAGAACATACTTATTTTGGATCAGTGATTAAAATAATTTTGTCATAATAATCTGTGGATTCAGTAGAGTTGTTGTCATTGCTGCAGTGGTGGGTTTTCTCCCAGTCAACAGGCTCTTGTTTATCTATTGTGTAGGAGCGTATTGTTGTTCAGTCCTGAGGGAAGAAGGTAATGGGAGGTAGAGAGAGCGCGATTGCATCTGTACACTGAAATTACCAGTGATCACACAGGCTGATAAAGTCTCTCTGTCTATGCAGAGAGAGAACAAGATTAAGATGACTGCTCTGGAAATGTACAGCTGTAAAATGAAGCTACGTGATTGGACTGCAGTTTTGATCCAAATGTGTGTCACAAGAACATGGTCCTGTTGGACTTGCTGCTGTTGAAGCAGTAGACACAGTGTCCTTACCAAAAACGACTTGATAAGTTTCCTGCATAATTTGTCTGCCCGTTCTGACAGCATACATGCTGTGCGATGCGACACAATTATGGTCAGTCAGGACTTGTGAATGTTTAATATAAAGCTCTGTGGAACAGGAATTTGGAACCAAGGAACCAAGCCACAGGATGTCCTGTTGCTCATTGCCTGTCACGGTCTGATTAAGAAACTGAGATTTACTTAAAAGAGCCTGTTCGTGTAAATGCAATTTTTCACCTTCTCATGTATAGTTTGTGCATCATATACGATTGCTCTGCTGCTGTTTTTCAGTGTCAGAATGACTTTTGTTTGTGTCTGTGGAACAGGAATTTGGAACCAAGGAACCAAGCCACAGGATGTCCTGTTGCTCATTGCCTGTCACGGTCTGATTAAGAAACTGAGATTTACTTAAAAGAGCCTGTTCGTGTAAATGCAATTTTTCACCTTCTCATGTATAGTTTGTGCATCATATACGATTGCTCTGCTGCTGTTTTTCAGTGTTAGAATGACTTTTGTTTGTGGAAAGTTAGAGTAAAGAAGCGATGCTCTGCTGTATTTGTATTTTAAACGGCTTTCTGACAAGATGCGCGTTAAATATCGCATGCGATTTATCGTGCAGCCCTAGTGGAAAGTTAAAGTAAAGAAGCGATGCTCTGCTGTATTTGTATTAAAAGAAAAGACAATCTGCACTTCAAGCAAACAAAATCAAACCTGTCAACTTTGCATGCTTGCTTTGTAGCTTCTAGTTTTTGTTGCGTTGCATGCTTTGCTTGCAGTTTTGCCAATGTCTTTGATTATAACAGGAGCTGCTAGTTTAGTTGCATTGCATGCAGCATAGATAGTTTAGTTGATTATAATGGGTGCTGCTGATACAACATAAACCATTTTATTGATTTTAACAGACTTTGCCAGTTTTATTGCACTTCATGTTTGCAATATAGATAGCTTAGTTAATAAAAACGGGATTCTAGTTGTGTTGCATTACATGCTTGAAGCTTAACTGGTATAATAACAGTTGCTGCAGGTTTTTTCACATTGTATGAATGCACCATAGATAAATAGTTTTGTTAATTATAATGGAAGCTGATAGTTTTGGTCACAATACATGCATGCAGCATATATAGCTTAGTTGATTCTAATAGGTGCATTTCATCCCTACAACACACTGTTTTATTATTAACGGGCATTGTTAGTTCGGTTGCATTGCATGCATGCAGTTTTGTTTGTTATGGGAGTTATATTGCACTGTATGCATGCATCATAGACAGCTTTGCAGGATATGAGAGCTGTTAGTTTTATATGCGTGCAGCTTTGGTACTAAAGTTTGCTGTGCGATTGGTCGCATTGTATGCATGCATCATAGATACTTAATAGTTGCTTGGTTTGTTGCTCTGCATCCTTGAAGCATAAACAGCTTTATTGATACTCAGGCATTGCTAGTATTGTTGCACTGCATGCATGCATTTTAGACAGCTCTTTGTTGATACTAACAGCCACTGTTCGTTTTGTTGTATTGCATGCATGCATCATAGACTATGTGCAGTACAGACAACTTTGACAATTATAATCCGTGGTGCAGTTTTGCAAGCCTTATATTCAGTCCCTTTCTGTCATTAACACAATCATCCCGTCGACAGAGCTAGTTTTGTTGCATCGCATCACAGCGCTCTCTCGAAGTGTAGACACTGTGAATCTCCTGGTGCAGGGGTGCTGATTATTTCCTCAGTCTCTGCTAGCGTGCGCTGTGCTTCTGTTAACTTATGAATTGAGCAAGCTCTGTATTTGACTCGCTTCGTTATCGGCTCTTTTCAAAGCTTCACAAGAGCGTAAAATGATTAGAGGAGAACCTGACAATGCATGAAGAGATTTGCACAGTTTCCGTAGATGTCAGGTGCAGCCGTTACACTCTAAATAGAGAAAAAGATGAATATTAAAGGCCTCCGTCTTTTCTCCTTTTCTTCCACCGCGACATTCACATCTTCTTTAGAGAGAATAGGGCCCAGGGCCCGCTCTGATTGGAAAGGGCACACTCCCATAGCCAGGAGAATCCGACCTGATGAAAAGAATTTTGTCTTTTAAGTATAATAGTCATTACTGTCTCACATTCTCTCTGTCTGTCTCTCTCAGGTCATCTGTACCCTGCTTTTACTGAAATGGTGCTGGTTCATGTGCTAGAGCCGATGTCTGGCCTGAAATGCTTAGAACATATTTGATTTAGCGTCTTGCCATCTTATTTTCACTGATCCTACCACATCTTTAAAAAAAAAGTTTTTAAAGAAATAAATCAACAAATAATTTATTAATAAGAATTAATCAGCCAAAAAAAAAAAATATATATATATGTATTTTTTTAATGTTTTAAAAATATTTTTAATTAGCATCTAAATACTAATATACAAATAAATCAAAATTCATGCATGATTTTTCTACATAAAATTATTTTGAGACCAGCAGGTTTAGGGGGCTAGTGCAGAGACCATTTTAACATCTAGAACGGCCTTTTCTGCCATTGAAACGTGCGGAACGGTTCCAGATTGGCCACTGGTACCCTATCGGTGGAAAAGTGGCTTCGGTGTGCTGTTTATGTCTGTCTGTGAGACTCTCGCTGATGTAGTAACTCCTGTATTATCTCTCTC